TGCTCATTGTAACTAAAGAATTTTCTGGTTTGCCACAGTAGCACTGGGATCTTCTGGGCACTAGTACCTTGCATTGGTTCTTCTGGGTTTCCACCCACCCCCCAGTTGAATTGTGATTCTGTACTTCACATCAGTCCTGTTGATCTGGCATTGCCTCAATGGCACTCGGTTCTGTTGAGCACTAATACATTGCACTGGTTCTTCTGGGCTTGCAAAGCCCCCCCTTGCTTGGATTGTGATTCTGTGCTTCACATCAGTCCTGTTGAGCTGGCATTGCCACAATGGCACTGGGTTCTACTGGGCACTAGTGTATTGCACTGGTTCTGCTGGGCTTATGAAAATGCTCACCCAACCTTCAGTTTCTACTTCAGAGATTCTCTGGTTTGACCTTAGTCCTGTTGGGTTTGCACTGCCACTGTGGCGCTGGTTCTGCTGAGCACATTGCACTGGTTCTGCTGGGTTTGCAAAAATGCCCCCTACCTTCAGTTTCTACTGCAGAGATTCTCTGGGACTTCAGTTCTATTCTGCTGGGCTTCTATTGCCCTTACTTTTGGGCACCATCTTTTGGGGGGGCATAACAAGGACCCCAGAAATCCAATCTTCACCAACTTGGAGGGCAGCTAGAAGAGAGTCAGCTGTAGATCTCCTGTGAGTTTGGTGTCTCTAGCCTGCCAGGGGGCTGTTCTACTCCATTATGAACCTCATGAACTGAACCTGTTCGTTTGACATCTAAAAGTTCATGATGGTTTGTGGGTCGCACATGCCATGAACCAAAAACCAAACCGCATTTTCCCACTTCATGCCCATCCCTATGTATGAATTGCCTTTTGCACTCTGCAGCTGGGTGATTGAAAGGCACTGGTTAAGGTATGCTTTCTAGTGATTCTGGAGTCCCCACTCTCGAAAGGAAGAGTGAAGGTTTTTGTCTCAGTTCCTCATTAGCTTTTACCACCGTGGAACTGGTTACCACTGCCGTACCATTTTACGCAGTAATAATCTGCCTCGTCGCCAGCCTGGACTTTAGTGATGGTTAAATAGCCAACGCTTCCAGAGACAGAAGCTGTGAACCGATCGGGAATCCCTTCTCCCCTGCTGCATTGTACACAATGGAGAAAGCGGGGGGGCTGGCCAGGCTTCTGTTGATGCCAGAAAACATAGTGCCCATCACTGTTGATAGTGCAGGAGAGTTTTGCTGTCTGTCCCAGGGACACAGATTGTGAGGCAGGCTGAATCCAAGGTGGCTGTGAACTGACACCTTGACAAAACAGGGGAAAAAACCAGAAAACATACAGCCTTACAAGGTTTTCCATGCTCTCTGGATTATGTCTTCATGATATACACATAGTACAAACAGGTTTTCTGTTGAACTATGTAAAGTTAGTAGCCCACGTCTTTACCTGATTGGTAACTGAGGAGTGTGAGGAGAAGCAGGATCCAGGCCATGGTGAAAATCAATATGAGGTTGTTCCTCAACCCAAAAGACATCTAGTTATACCTCCCCGCCTCCTTTTGTAGACAACCCCAAGAATTCAAGAATCACCTGCCATGCAAATTTGTTCATGTGTCCTGGCTTTGCTAGAAGGGAACACCTCCAATGATGAGATGGGACATTTCAGACAGGACAATAAACCTAGAATATATTTGCATGAAGGGAGTTTCTTTTGAAAGAAGAGAGAGGTTTCCATGTTTTGTCCAGAATGAAAGTGACGCTGCAGTAGGACAACTCACAATAGTAAACACTGGTTTGCAGAATTGAGGATGAAGTGCAGCAATATATTTACCTGCCAGGGGGTAACCCAGAGGTGGAGGAGTTTGTCGGAGAGAATCAGAGGGCCAGAGCTGGAGTAGGATTCCCCGTAGAATACTTTGTATGAGCAGGGGCATACTGGCCATTGACACATAAAGCTGTTGTACAGTGAATCAGTCCTGTGGTCCATCAAGGTCCATATTGCCTACCCAGACTGGCAGCAGCTCTCCAGGGTCTCAGGATGAGCTCTTTCACATCACCTACTGCCTGGTTCTTTTCACTGGAGATACCAGGGATTGAACCTGGGACCTTCTGCATGCCACACAGATGCTGTGTCACTGAGCCACGGCCCCTCACTATTAAGGCCATGGGGGGAAGTCCTGGTAGGCCTCTCCTCACCTTCCTGCATGGTCCACCACTACAAGAGGTAACAACCTCCTCTCCTCACCCAGACCAGTCTCACACATGGCAAAAGCCTCCTCACCCTCATTTGGTTGGCCTTGCAGTAAGAAGAGAAGAAGAGATTGGATTTATAATCCGCCCTTCACTTAAAGTCTTGGAGTGGCTTCCCCACAACAGAGATTCTGCAAGGTAGGTGGGGCCGCTGAGAGAGGTCTCAGAGAACTGCTGTTGAGAGAACTGCTCTGTGAGAACTGTGGCTGACCCAAGGTCACCCAGCAGCTGCATGTGGAGGAGTGAGGAATCAAACTCAGTTCTACCAGATTAGAGTTTGCACATGTAACCACTATACCAAACTGACCTCACCACTAATCAACTCTTCCTCCTTTGGAGTCATGATGAGTGAGGAGTATGGCCAGGGAGGGATTGTCACCTTTTCCCAGAGCAGTTCTGGCTTCCCAAACCTCCCCTGTCTCCAAGCCCTTACTTCTCGTGGCCAACTTATTTCCAGTTTCAGAGGCAGTTTGGTAGAGCTGAACAGGTTTAAAAACTCACCTGGGTTTTAAAAATCTCTAACAGTAACCCTACAGGAGACGACAGGTATGCTTTCTGTATGTGGTAGGAAATTCTAAATATGTGCCTCCTTCTTTTAAGGATGATGAACGTATGTTCACACCACTACCCCCATACTCTGTCCCTGTACAGAGAACATATCAGCATAGAACTGATGGATAAAGATACATGGAATTACATTCCTTTTCTCTGTCCCCCAAACTTGTGGATATTGATCCTAACAGCTACACAGAGCCAAGATGTATGTTTGGAAAGAAACTAATCAAAATCCAATACAAACCGAACCCTTAACTCCAAACCCTAACTAAGCCAAATGACATTTGAAATGTTATTTTTTTCTTTCTGGATAGCAACCACACTGGCCCTCAGTTTGCAAGATCTCAGCAAGGCTGTTAAAGACAGGACATTTTGGAGGACATAATCCATAGGACTTCCATAAGCCAGAAGTGGCTTTATGTCACATGACACACACACAAAAAACACTCCCCCACCCCCAGGTTCCTGTGCATATTCAGAGCCATTGTGTAAAATATCCCGCCAAACTGACTTTCACTCAAAACATTCCAGCTCTGCTAGGAACAAATGCATAATTCTGGTACCATCCCAGACTCCAGAAGTAAAATATCCTGGCTGCACCATGGCCACTCTTCCTCATTGGTCAGCAATCCTACCAGCCTAAAGAATCAAGACTCTGGACTGAAGGGGGTCAACTGTAAAACAAACAGCACCACCTTACTGGCTACAGGGAACATAAACTGGAGGGTGGGATTAATGAGAAGGAAGTGGGTGTACTGGGACAAAGCCAGCCTCCGTCAGATGAAGGCTCACCTAGGGCTTATGTGGTTGGGTCTCTGTGCATGAGTAAGCCAGAAATACCAGAAACAAAATTGCACATCTTCATTGAACCATTTACTGCTTCAGTTTGCAGGTGCACTCTGGGCACGCTCTATTGATAATTTAAATCTAATAAATGTGGTGGAAGGTGGACCAACATTTCCCCCTGCAGGCAAACAGAAGCAGCGCAAGCAGCATGCAAGATGTGATGAGTAACTTCCAATAAACAAAACCAAAAGCCCTCTAATGCATCGAGAACCAATGGAGTGTAATGTATAAATTAGTGGACTACAACCCTTGATGATCCAGGTTCAACTCTTCTCTTCTACCATGGAAGTTTGCTGGTTGGGTGACTTTGGGCCTGTCACAAACTCTGAATCTGGCCTAGCTTGCAGGCTTGTTGTGGTGGAAGAATGGAGGCCAGGAGAATGATGTTCTAAGCTGCTTTGCGTCCCAACTGGGAAGAAAAGCAGGATATACATAATAAATGCAAATGCATCTTATATTAAGATGAGCTAAAATAGCACAACACATTGTGCAAGCTTTGAGTTCTCCAGAACTCATCACTGGGTTGAATGGTAAAAAGGGTGGAGAAACCCCCATTTTTTTGGGTCACGGTGTTCAGATCTCTGTGCCTGTAGGATGTCTGTAGCTGACTTCAGTGGGCTTAAAATGTAGCTACCTGGTATCAGACTGTGCCCCTGATAGCGAGACTGTGTCCCTCATAGCCTGAAGATGCAAAAATGGAAGCCAACCAGCTGGAAACATTACAACTAGTTGCTTCTCTTTTTGTTTCACCATCCCAGCATTTATATAATGGTACCAATGAACAATTATCAGAGATGCTGGCATTCTACCAAATTCTACAGCATTAGATCCGCCTAACCATTACAGAGGAAGCAGATCCATTGGTCTTGTAGAGCAGACTCAGCGTCACTATGGCTAGCAGCAGTGAATGGACATGTCCTTACTTTGACTCCTGGCAAGTTTGTTCTCTTCAGTGTCACTTGTGAAAACAGTGTCATATGACTGGATACCTACTTACAAGGCACATATGTGCTTCCTAACCCTGTGTATATCCCTTGTCACTATAGAAACGGGGGGGCATTTGCAGGGGGGAGTTGGCCAGAAAATCTCCTATGCAATATTACTCTGCTGCCTTTTTAGTGTAACCTACACACACACATGCTGTCTGTAAACTGGTTTGGAGGAAGAAATGCATGCTGGAACAGTGGAAAAGAGGCCTGTTTGTACAGTCATTGGCTAAGAACCCTCCCCTGTCCACCCTAAAAGTCCGTCCCCCCTAGAAAGGTGGCATATGAATGTATTCAATAAACTGCCCTGCACTCTGCAAGTGCATGATTTCAACAATCCCTGGAACAGCTTGTGTTAAGGTCTCGAAAGCCCCAATCTGGGAAGGAATGAAGGTTTTTGTCTCAGTTCCCCATTAGATTTTACCACTGTGAGGCATGCTGTCAGTGCTAGAATACATGCAACAGTAATAATCTGCTTCATCTCCAGCCTGGACACTGGTGATGGTTAAATGGCCGATGTTCCCAGAGGTGGATGCTGTGAATCGATTTGGGAACCCTTCTCCTCTGCTGCTGCAGCCCGTACAATGGACAAAGCGAGGGGCCTGCCCAGCTTTCTGCTGATACCAGTAAATGGTGCGGCCATCATTGTTGACCGTGCAGGACATTTTTGCCGTTTGCCCTGGTGCCACAGACTCTGAGGCAGGCTGAGTCCAAGGTGACCTGGAACTGACACCTGTACAAAAAAAGGAGGGGAAAAACAGGAAAACCTGACCTTAGTGTATCTTCTCCTACATAACAAACTAGAGTTTTGTGTTTTAATTTAAAATGAAACATGTTTAACTAAAATAGCTTTTCAGATGGGTTGGGTAAAGTTAAGTCCTCCAAACCCTTACCTGAGCTGTAACTAAGGAGTGTGAGAAGAAGCAGGGCCAGGGCCATCGTGCGCTCCAAAATAATCTTTCTGAGCTAAAGGGGAACCTGACTGAGACCTTCCCTCTTCTGTCTTAAAACCATCAGGAACCGCAAAAAACGTTGTTATGCAAATCTGTTCAGCACCATTGGTTTTCAATAAATGGCACACCTCCAGTCAAGAGATTTCAAATTGGTGTGAAGAGCATATTCTGAAAAAAGAAAAAGAAGGTATGCGTGCTTGTCTTATCCTGAATGAAAAGCATCACTCTCAATCAGTGAGATAGTCTGAACCAGGAAGTTACTAGTTACAACAAGCCTGGAGTGGATCAGCTCATGAACCGAAATTCATGGCAAATCAACTGGCACAAACTTTCCATAAACTTTCAAGCTATTTGTTGTGGTTCATGCTGTTTGTTGAATGGATACATTTCCATTCAGGCTGACTCCACTCAATCAAAACATTTACCAAACGAAAAAGAATAAATTGTACATGAAAAAGTCCCTCCCCCCGCCCTTTTGCCAGTGTTCCTTTGTATTTCCTTGCAAAATCCATGCCCTTTGCTGGGATTTGCTGTGACTCTGTGCTTTGACAGCAGTCCTTTTAAGCTTGCATGTAACAGTAATAATCTGCTTCATCTCCAGCCTGGTCATTGGTGATGGTTAAATAGCCGATGTTCCCAGAGATGGATGCTGTTAATTGATTCGGGAACCCTTCTCCCCTGCTGCTGCAGCCCGTACAATGGACAAAGTGAGGGGCCTGTCCAGTTTTCTGCTGATACCAGTAAATGGTGTTGCCATCATTGTTGACGATCATGCCAGCTTTTAGCATGTTAGCTAAATGGAAGGCATTGGCTGATGGGGGGAGGGGGAAGAGGCAGCAATATTTTGGCCTCACCCTTATGGCCTAGACACCTGCCACACATCTGACTCCTTCCTTGAGTATTTGTATTCTCTGTAAGGCAGAAAGTGCTGCCATGTTGTTTGGGAGGGGAGGCTTGGCTCATAAGGTGTAAAGGCTGCCATACTGCCTGGGGGAAGGGGGCAGCCAAAGAACAAGATGTCAGTTTTGCTGAGCTCTGTTTCCTGCCTCTGCTGACGGGGCACATGTAGCTTTCCCCAACAGGGTACATTGTGTCTCTTGGAGCCATTTCTGGTTGGGAAAATGGTCTGAGGGAAGACGTAAGCCCTCCATGACACTTCTGAGACAAGGTATCACAAGTTAGAACGGATTAGATGAATTAGATGAATTAGAACAGGTTAGAATGGATAAAAGGAAGTACGTCTTCACCTGAAGAGTGATTAACACATGGAATTCCCTGCCACAGGAAGTGGTGGTGGCTACAAGCATGGACGGCTTCAAAAGGGAATTAGATAAGCATATGGAGCAGAGGTCCATCAGTGGCTATTAGCCACATGGTATAGATAGGGACTCTGAGGCAAGTGATGCTCTGTCTTCTTGGTGCTTGGGGGGGTCAACAGTGAGAGGGCTTCTAATGTCCTCGCCCCACTGGTGGACCTCCTGATGGCACTGGTATTTTTGGCCACTGTGTGACAGAGTGTTGGACTGGATGAGCCTTTGGCCTGATCCAGCATTGGCGTCTCTTATGTTCTTATGTTCTTATGTACCTTGCCAGAGCCAGTTTGGCGTAGTGGTTAAGTGCGCAGACTCTAATCTGGGAGAACGGGGTTTGATTCCCCACTCCTCCACTTGCACCTGCTGGATGACCTTGGGCAAGCCATAGTTTTGATAAGAGCTGTCCTTGAAAAAGGGCAGTTTCTGTCAGAGCTCTCTCAGCCCCACCTACTTCACAGGGTGTCTGTTGTGGGGTGGGGAAGGGAAAGGAGTTTGTAAGCTGCTCTGAGACACCTTTGGGTAGTGAAGGGCGGGGTATAGATCCAATCTCTTCTTCTTCTTCTACATGGGCTGTCAGTCCACATTCTTACCTCAACAGGAACTGAACAGTGTGAGAAGAAACAGAGTCCAGATATTGCAAAGGCAGAATCCGTTTGATTTTCTGAGACAAAAGGGTCCAGGGCTTGGAGACAGAGCTTTCCTACATATAGTAGTCTAAAGAAAATCTCTGATCTGAAAAATATCCCTTCATGGCAGTGTTCCTCATATTCATCAGCATTGGTAGAGCTTCCCTTTCCCAAAAAGAGATGTGACATTCTGGGGAAGCCAATGTATATTTGATATGGTTCTATGAAGAATATTTTTTAAAAGGAACAAAGTTGGGTTCAAATGGGTCCCCAATGAGGATTAGGTGGTGTTTGTATAGGTGAGGACATTAAACTGGAAAAAAAAAATCACAAGTGGTTTGTATGCTGCTTCCACACAGATTTCTCCCCACATGCAAAACATGAAGCCCCCTCTTTGTAGGGTTTCCAACCACCAGCTCCTTGCTGGGGTCACCATAAGTCAGCTGCAACTTGATGGCACTTTAGACACACACACAAGCAAGAGGTGCCGCTTTAAGGCCTCTTAGGGACCTGCTGAGATCAGGAGCTTGATAGTTCCAATGGCCTTGAAGATGAAGTAGATGAACACTCAGCGGAGAGTGGCCTTGCCAGTTAAACCTCTTCTGAATTCCAGAACATTGTGAGGAGGAGGAGGAGGAGGAGGAGGCCTGCTTGTGGCAGAAACATAAGTCATAGTGGGAAAGACTGGATGAGAAAGATGGAATTCAGCAAATGTGTACCTGATGGCTACTTAATCCAGAGAAGGCAGCATCTGTGATGGAGATTTGGTGGCCATAGGGGCTTTGTGTGCTGTCCCTACAATTCTCCCCTTCAACACTCACAGCAAGCTTTATTCCTCATCTGAAGATTATTTAATATCTCAGAGGCAGTTAGTGAGTGTGAGTCTAAAATCCCACTTGGGGCTGTGTGGAATTTTGGGTTAGAAAAGAGAAAGTGCCTAATTCCCTCCCACCTACCAGTTTCCCCCCTGCAAGTATCCCCTCTACCCTTTCATTAGCCTAACAAGATAAACAGAAGGTTGAGAGATACAGCTAGAATTCCTAATTTTGTCCTAAGATAAAAGGCATTTTCAGTAACTCTCAGGATGATGACAAACACACTTTCTCTTACGTGTGGAACTGGTTTCTGTATGCACAATTGTTGCCCTTTCTAGACGATGAATTTGTGTTCAGTCTGCTTCAGCCATACTCTAGTCCAATGCACATGATTGCAACTCTGTAGGGTCAGTGCAAGAACAGGGGAGGGATGGAATCACATCCACGGGTGGAATCGCATCCTTGAGATGATGCAGAGGACATAAAACATACATTCAGAATACACCGAGGTACACAATACACAAGAGGTGCAACAAAATACACTAGAGGAGGTGCAGAATACACAAGAGGTGCAACACAGAGAATACACAATCCATACACTGTGAAAAATGACTTTTGCTCAAACCATTGTGGTAATCAGTCCCAAAGTAAAACAAATGGACTGGAGGAAAATCATATAGGCAAGCCTTATGAAAAATGATAAATAAAACAATTTATTATTTATTAATTTAAAAATTATTAGCAGTCTTTCTTCCTCACAGACAGGGTCATTTCCTGCGGGAGCGCACAGGAGCGGAGCTCCGGCAGTAAAGAGCCCAGGGGGCGGGCACATGCAACAAGCCCCGCCCCCTGCTCCCAGCAGCCCTCAGTCAGAGCAAGAAGCAGCCAGGTAAGTTGCAGAGCCCCCCCCCCCGGCCCAAAACAGTCCAGTGGAGCCTGAGCGGTGGGTGTTGCCTTCTGACACACTTCCGGTGATGTCAGGGGATGGGGCATATGCAAATAAGTTGTGCTAATGAGTTATGCTAATAAGCTCCTGCACCTCTCTTTCTATGAAATGACCCCTGCTCTCAGAGATGGAGGCTCGTGTGTGTGCGTGCATGTAAAATGCCACCAAGTCACAGCTGACTTATGGAGAGCCCAGCAAGGGGACTTCCAAGGCAAGTGAGAAGCAGTGGTGGTTTGCTATTGCCTTTCAATGCAGAGTCTCCTTTGGTGGTCTCCCGTCCAAGTGCTGATTCTGCTTAGCTTCTGAGAGCTGATGAGATCAGGCTATATCATGCCACCTTCCCTCCCAAGTCGGCTCACAGTATTAATAAAATGTATAAAATAGTGTAAAAAACGCCACATAACACCAGATCTAAAATCACAATTTAGGGCTGCTTTACTCAAGTGCAGTCCTAAATAAAGCCTTCTTCACCTGCCTCCTAAAGTTCGAAAGCGAGGGGTCCAGGTCCACCTCTCTGGGGTCGTTGTTCCATAATCGTGGGCTGCCACTGAAAACGCCTCTCTGGCCTACCCACCAAAAGGCTTCTTTGATTGATGGGCCAGTGAGGAGGGCCTCTCCCGGTGATCTTAATTCACAGGCAAGAACATATGGGAATATACGGCCCTTCAGATACCTTGATCCCAAGCCATGTGGAGATTTAAACTGAGAAGAGAGTTGAGGCAGGCACAGAGAAAGAGCAAGGCTGGGTAAGGTGCTCGCTTGAAAAGGGCAGGCTGTGGTTGGGCTCTGTGCCTGAGTGAGCAAAAAGGATCTTTAAAAATACACCTGTTTGTGAACAATTTCCTGCTTCATTTCACCCAACAGCCGCAGCCTGAGTAAAGGCACTCTTATGAAAATTTAACGCTAACATATGCAGGGGAAATGGACCAACACCTCCCTCTGCAGGCCAAAGACATAAGAACATAAGAGAAGCCAATGTTGGATCAGGCCAATGGCCCATCTAGTCCAACACTCTGTCACACAGTGGCCAAAAATACCAGGTGCCATTAGGAGGTCCAGAAGTGGGGCCAGGACATTAGAACCTCCCACTGTTGACCCCTCCAAGCACCAAGAACACAGAGTATCCCTTGCCTCAGACCATGAGTTCCTACCTATACCTTGTGGCTAACAGCCACTGATGGACCTCTGCTCCATGAAGAATGAGTCTTATATCGTGTCTTTGGAAACTTTTACTGCTACCAGAAAATCCATTTTACAGAAGGAAAACAACTCATGCGTGAGCCTCTGTGGATGCTCCACTCTCCCCCCCACACACACAAATGGTGACTCACTATTTTATTTTATTTTTTTTATTTGCTTTATTTATAGCCCACCATTCTCTCTGATATTCAACGTGAATTGTTCAATCCTTATGCTATTCTTCCTCTCCAGGCTTCTATCTTATACTTTCTCCATTTTCACTCGCTGGAGCCACACATAAAACCTTTTGCATGAGGAGAAGAAAGGCAGCGTAGGCTCTGATCACATTGATCTCTTTAGCCCAACATTATCACACACACACACACACACCAGTGTCCCAAGTTCCATAAAATTGGAAGGATGATAACGCAGGGCTTAACCACGCAGCTGAAGCCTCTGGCCATGAGATTGTTCCCCCATCGGCAGGAAAAAACATCACCTGCCAAGTGTTTCATGTTTCCTGGTTTTTAATCCACATGGCAAGATTCATGGGAAATACTTTTTGAAACAAGCTAGCATCCCAACAAAGAATCCCCCTCCTCTTTGTGCATATTTCTGACTCAGTTAACATTTCACTGTGGCTAACTGTAGACATGGCCACTCCCCAAAATTACACTGCACCAAGATGTGCTTAAGATGTCGAATAATATGGCACAGCCCAATCTTGTTACATCTCAGCAACCAAGCAGGGTTGGTACTTGGGGGGGGGGGCACCAAGGAAGACTTCTGCAGAGGAATGCAATGGCAAACCACCTCTGCCTCTCATTTGCCTTGAAAGCCCTTTGGTGGGGTCACCATAAGTCAATTGTGACTTGACAACACATACATATGCAGGGGTCATTTCGTAGAAAAAGAGGTGCAGGAGCTCATTAGCATAACTTATTTGCATAACTTATTTGCATATGCCACACCCCCTGACATCACCGGAAGTGTGTCAGAAGGCAACACCCACCGCTCAGGCTCCCCTGGACTGTTTTGGATTGCTAGCTATCGGGGGGACGGGGGACGTGCAGATCTGTCCTCTCAGAGGAGGGAGAGCTTGTACCTGAATAAAACTTGGTCTTAAAGGTGCCACTGGACTGTTTTGGGCCAGGGGGCTGGGGGGAGCTCTGCAGCTTGCCTGGCTGCTTCTTGCTCTGATTGAGGGCTGCTGGGAGCAGGGGGTGGGGCTTGTTGCATGTGCCCACCCCCTGGGCTCTTTACTGCCGGAGCTCTGCTCCTGTGCGCTCCTGCAGGAAATTACCCCTGTACATACGTATGCTGCACTCTCATCCTCTGCCTGGATACTTGTGATAGTTCAATAGCATTCAATGACGGATTTGGAAGTGGGGAAAGCATCTGGTAAGACAACCGACTTGCATACACAAATAATATCTCAGTATGAATTGGGGACTTCTCTGGGGTCCCCTTAGTGGCCAGAAGACATCGTTGCCATCACAGATCCCTCTCAGACTTCAGGAGATCCACAGCCTGCTTTTAAAAGTCAAAGCCTTTGAAGGAGACTTAATGGGAAACTTTAATCTGGAAATAAATATAGGAATTAAACCTTAGCCTGGGTTTGTGGTGTAACTGATGAATATTATAATTTTTAGAAAAGTAGAAAGAGGATATTCAAATCCATTTTAAACCTGCAGATTAAATTCTTCTTCCCACAGGAGAACAGTAAGAGAGGAGCAGAAGAAGTAGGGTGGTACAGTGCGTATAAAACAGGCTTGTTTGCCTTGTGTCCTTCCATTTCTGTGTGAACTTGCACAAGTGTGGATTACTACGTACTATACCAACAGGTGGTCCTGATTGGGTTTATGGGTTTATGTCAATATCCACCTCACTGAAGAACCGTGTGGCTTCCCAAGTCAGCAGCATTTCAGCATTTCATCTAGAAATGTGCAATTTATTTGGAACTGATGCAAAAGCATAAATTTTAATTGTAATACCTCTATGTACTATAGACTTTCTAGTCTAGTGGGGGGGGGAGAGAAGATGATTGCAATTTTGTCCCATGGCAAGATGGGATATTTTCTAAGTGACAGTGGAGTCACAACATTCAATAGCTGTCCTAGTGTTATTCCCCATGTTTAACAGTTTTCTAAAATGAACAAAGTTTTAGTCCTGTGGCACCTTTAAGACCAGCAAAGTTTTATTCAGGGTATAAGCTCTCGTGTGCAAGCACACTTTGTCAGATACAGTGGAAAGAACCTCCTCAACCTTTATTTCCATGACAAAGTGTGCTTGCATACAAAAGCTTATACTGTGAATAAAACTTTGGTGATCTTAAAGGTGCCACTGGACTCAAACTTTGTTCTGCTTCTTCAGACCAACACGGCTACCCCACCTGAAGTTTTCTAAAATGCATCTTGTTGAAAAGAGAATTCTGGATGTGGCCAGGTTCTGTGTCTTATTGTGCTTCTCGGCAGAATGCTTTATAGCAGTTTTGCGGCACTGTGATTCAGCAACTTAAGGCTGAAGTCAGTTGCTGCTGCTTTTGTCTAAAGCACACAGGAGGAGTGAAGCCCAAAAGGCAAGCCGAAATAAGATTGACCCCAGTGTTGCCCAGGATCATACAGATAGGCTTTGTACATAGACAATTACTTGTTAAATATGGAGGAGTCTCAGGCTGGGTCTACTTTCCCCACAGTACTATATCAAGGTTATCAGGCCTCCCCTGGCCACCAGTGGGGCATGGGGTGGGTAGGGTTGCCAGATCCAGGTTGGCAAAAATCCTGGAGCTTTGGGGATGGAATGTAGGGAGGACAGAGAGCTCAGTGGGGTACAGTGCTATACAGTCCACCCTCCAAAATATGTTTTCCCCAGGGGAACTGATCTCCGTAGTCTGGAGATCAGCTTAATTCCAGGGAATCCCTAGGTGCCATCTGGAGGCTGGCATCCCTAACTATAATTGGAAGTCTTTAGTTGGACACCCTGCACTTTCCTTCTTGCATTCCTGTGGTGTGGATTCTGTGTAGTGACCGCTTTGGAGAGGCAAGTGGAACGAAAAAGCCTTTCTTTCAGACACCATGGTTATACTCACTTCAGGCAAAGATCAGATTAAGCTCTCTAGTCATTCTTGGTTTCCCTCTCTGAGCAGAAAGAGAGACAGTTTTTGTCTCAGTTCCTCATCAGATTTCACCACCGTGGAACTGGCTACCGCTGCTGTACCACATGCCACTGTAATAATCAGCCTCATCTTCAGGCTGGCAGTCGGAGATGGTTAAATAGCCGACATTCCCAGATCGAGAAGCAGTGAACCGATTTGGGATCCCATCTCCCCTGCTGCTGCAGCCATCACAGTGTACAAAGCGAGGGGGCTTTCCGGGTCTCTGTTGATACCAGTAAACAGTAGTACTATCACTGCTGATGGTGCAGGAAAGTTTAGTTGTTTCTCTCGGGGACACAGACTGTGAGGGAGGCTGAGTCAAAGTCGGCTGTGAATGGACACCTTTACAAAACAAAAACAGAAAGGACTTAGTATATTTTGAGTGCTCTCAAATCGCACAAAAGTACTTCCCTCCCCCCTTGAAAGACACATTATTATTTATTATTTTCAATTTGTATCCCGCCTTGCCAGGACAAGGTTTTATTGGTGACCTAAATAATGTTAGTTCTGCACAGCCTTACCTGAGCAGTAACTGAGAAGGGTGAGGAGAAACAGGGTCCAGGCCATGGTGAGGTCTCTAAAGGAGTTTGATTTCCTAAGGCCCAGGGGGTAGCTAGCTCTTTGGGTCTTTCCCCTTCTTTCTTAAAGCCCACAGGAACTGAAGAAAAGTTCCACTATGCAAATGTCTTTATGCCCATTGGCTTTTGCTACCTAGAACAAACCTTGAATGAAGACGGGCTATTCTAACCAATGAATGACCAGAGAACATATTTGCATGAGAGGATTTTTGACAAAATGCAAACCATGTCCCTTTACTTTGTCCTGGCTGCAGTAATACCTCATAGAATCATAGAATCATAGGTGGAATCTACATTTGTCTTTCCCACCAGTGTCCCAGCCTTTTGACTCCGTCTTCAAAAAAGCTGTCTACATTTGGTGTCATTTTCACACCTCAAGAGTGCTAGCATACTTTTGCATGTCCACATATGTTTATCGTTCTTTAGGGCAGCTCCACGGTCATTGCACCTCCACACTGCTTTAAAAGAATCTTCTCCAAACAACATTCAAACGAGCATAGAGAAAGACGGCATCACAGCAGCACGAAAATGATTTTAAAATGCAAATGCAGATTCGGCCATAGAATCTGAAGGGATCTTCAGGGTCATGTTGTCCAACCACCAGCACAATGCAGAAAATTCACAAATACCCCCCAAACACACACTATGGAAATACACAATACCTCACTATGGCATAGGTTGAATAGAAACTCAGGGTATGTGACATTGGCAATCACAAATGTGCCAGTTTGCCCCTGATCCTGGGGCAGAAGAAGTTTCAGTCTGCCATGTAGTACTGCCCCCAGGCCAGGCTTAATTCAGTTCTCAGAGCTAGTTGGGGAGGGGGGTGAGAAGAAACAGTAAAACCCAGTCCTGAGGCAGAGAACTCAAACTGAGGGTGAAACAGAAGGATTTCTTCCATATGCTGACTCTCCCTTGCATTTGCCCTCTTCTCCCTACATTAGCATTGCTAGGGTTGCCAGTGGTAGGCTGGGAAATGCCTGGAGATTTGGAGGTGGATCCTGGGAAGGAAGGGAAGGATCTTGGGGCAGGAAGAGACCTCAGCAAAGTATATTGCCATAGAGTCCACCCTCCAAAATGACCATGTTTTTTCAAGGGGCAGGATCTCTATAATCTGGAGATCAGTTGAAATTCCAGGAGATCTCAGGGCCTACCTGGGGGTCCACAACCTTGATCATTGCAAGGGAACACAAAATTGAAAAACATGCTTTAGCCTCATCAAATGTATTTCTGCCCTAAAACAAAAGGTGCTTTCACCAGGGCTCTGAAGGGTATATATGTCTGATTCCTTGCACAGGGAAAACCTTCTTCTCTGCATGAAGTTTAAGTAGAGCCTGTGTTTCTGCTTGCCAGTGGAAGCTGGATTTGTATAGAGGTGTTTGGCCAGTGTTTGTGTCAGACATGAGTCACTGCGCCCACATGCAGCGTGGGGGAGAGGGCCTTGCTTCATCCTGTTATGTAGTGGGTAGCCGCATGGATGAACGACAGACAACGACGTGGTGCATAGCACGCTTTATTAGCACACAACAAAGACAAGAGAAAAACGGCTGGCAGGCCAACTATATACACACCTGGGGACCGCCCCTGGTCACCATTGGTGGGTTCAAATCTCCCGCCACGGATCCCATTGGTTCCCCAGAGGAGGGACTAGGATCCTAGTCCCTATTGTTGTTCGGACTGAAGCTAGGGCATATGCGCTGACCTCCGGTGGCGGTCCGCGGACACTACACCCCTCCCCCCATAGTCCGGACCTTGCCCTATGAAGTGAGGGGAGGGACCTCAGCAGGGTACGATGTTGTAGAGCCCACCTTCCAAAGCAGCCATTTTTTTCCAGGGGGACTGATCTACGTCACCTGGAGATCAGCTGTATTCCCAGGAGATCTCCAGCCACCACCTGGCGTTTGGCCACCTTACCAACAGCTCATATGAAATGCCAAAGAAGTGAGATGTGTGGGTGTGTGGTGTGCTTTCCTTGAGAGAAAGCAAACGCTGTGAACAAAGTGAATCCAAATTTTTAAGCATCTTTATTTGCAAGGACTGCGGTGTAAAAAAACCCAAACAAACAGAAAAATGCCCCCCTCCTGTTCATAGGTGGTTGGCATGCAGACCAGTGTTCCCTCTAAGCTGAGTTAGTGTGAGCTAGCTCACAGTTTTTTAGCCTCCAGCTCACACATTTTTATCCTAGCTCAAGAAGGATGGCTCCAGTGCAAACTAATTTATGCAGTAACCAAATTGCTCGCTCACAACCTTAATGCGAGTAGCTCACAAAGTAGAGGTTTTTGCTCACAAGACTCTACAGCTTAGAGGGAACATTGATGCAGACTGTGAATGACAACAGACACCCATTTGGAGTGTGGAGAAAGTGAGCTTGACAGATTCTGTGTTTTCCGAGCCATTTCTTCTTTGAGCAGAGATTGTGTTTCAACTCACTGAAACTACCCCTATGCTTTCCCTA